TCAACCCAACATGTTGTTTTTGATGTTGGTTTTTGGTGATGATTATTTATTTGTGATTCTTAGAAAAGATCGAGAAACAAACATGTGAAGATCATAATTTACCGCATGCCACAAATCATTTAAAAAGATAGGTGGGAGATCTGTTCGCATTTTTCCATGGGATGCTGTAAAAGTGCCCACTATGATTTAAAAGGGCGCTGTTCCATTCGGAATGGGGGAACCCCTTGCAAGGATTCCCTGGGGGTGATTTTTCGCACTCCACAGCCAGGCTGCTACTCTTTTTGGACAATGCTGTCGAAAATAATCTCAAGCACTTTTCTTCTCGCAGTTCCCCCCCCCGCTTTCCCTCAAGAAATCATGGTATTTGCACAGTTTTTCCATTTTCCTTCAAAGAAAAGATGTTACCTACAGTGCGTTTCCATTGAACAAACATTAAGAAAAACGCTGGCCTTTGAACATTTTTGGAAAAGCCACGAAAGCTGGCTGTGCTAGCTGAAGTTGCTCTTGCTTTAGCAAGGAATAGGCAGGGAGCAGGACTACTGGAAACCCTGAAGCTTTCCGGCAGGCCCAGGTTCGATCCCCCCTGGTCCCCCCCGAGCCTCCCCCGAGAGGAGATTTCAAGCTGGTACGATAGAGGGTCATCATCATCCTCATTTTCATCTTCATCCTCATCCTCCTCATCCTCATCCTCATCCTCATCATCCTCATCCTCATTCCTCATCATCCTCATCCTCATCCTCTTCGTCCTCTTCGTCCTCTTCGTCCTCTTCATCCTCCTCGTCGTTGATCAGCATCCTCATCTCCGGGTCCCGCTGGGCCATTGGTTTCCTGCAGGTATAGGGTCGTCCTCTTCAGTATTTCATCTTCAGGACGTCATGTTCAAACCAACCAACAACTCTATAAAATCCTCATCGGAAACTTGCCGGTTTCCAAATGATCATAATTATTTTCCTCCTCCTCCTCGTCATCATCTGTATCATCATCATCATCATCATCATCATCATCAATGAAATCCTCATCCTCATCCTCCATCCTCATCCCCATCCTCATCCTCATCCTCCTCATCATCGTCCTCCTCCTCTTCATCATCATGATTATCAACAACAGCATCATCCTCATCATCATTCCTATCATCGTCATACATATGTTGCTTTGTCTCGAACATCTTTCTGCAGATTCGGGCTTCCATTTGGGGTGCGTTTTTTTTTTTTTATATTGCGTTTCTTTTGCTTACAACACTTGGCGAGAGACGATTATTGCATTGGGGAGTTTTCGCTTGCTGGACTCAATAGATTTCGCAACCCTAAAACAGCCCGTTGCCGCATTCCGACTTCACCTTGCTAATCCCTCTTTACGATTACCACCCTGCCCCAGCCCTGCTAGCTTTCGTACCTCCCCCCTGGCCTCAAGTTTTATTGTCCCTCCGCTCTAGTACACAAGAAAAAAACACTGGTACTTACTTGCAAAACCCAGCGTTTATTTTTCTGGCAGGCTGTGAATACCATGTTTTTTCTGGCGCAAACTGGACCAACTGCGGAAAAACCATGCCTTGGAACATGTTTGGATAGTTTTTTGGAAAACACTGTAAATACCATATGTTTTCAATCGAACTTGGAAAACTGTGGAAAAACATTTCGGAACATATTTGTTTTTGTTTGGGTAGCGAAGAGTCATCGGGGAAAACAACAGAACATGTCGCAGTTTTTTGTCTGTGATGTTCTTTCTGCGGCGCACCAGCAGAGCAGCAAACAACGCGGGTATACGTGATGCCTTCTATTTTTTTCGTGTTCATCCTTATCTAAAAATGAACCAAACACCGTTTTTACCGCAGGTTTTTGATTTCCGACCAAAAACATTGTATTTACAATACTTTGTCATTAAAAAACGGCAAGGCACGTTGTTTTTGCAGTTTGTTTGTAACTTTCTCCCCGCAGCCCACCACAGCATTGCAGCAAAAACACTAGTTTTTGCGATGTTTTCTGTACTTTCTTTCTCTTTTCAAGCATCGCACAAAATTCAAGAACCTGCCCCAACAGCAAAATTTCGATCAAATTTTAATTTCGTTTCACGAAGACCCCAAAGGGTCGCAAAATTCGAAAAACTGAAGCTACCCTGCGCCATATGCAATGACGGAGCAAAAGCGGTCCCAAGGGCTCCCCTTCCCCAAGCTAAAGTTGACATAGCAAAATGTAATATCATTAGGATGAACTCTTTTTGGCTGATTGCACCCCAATGGCACGGCTTCACCGCCGAGCGGCGTGGGCGGATTTATGATTCAAATGATATAGGTCATGGCAAAACATTTTGAAAACCGTTCTTTAAAGACATTGTTCGTTTTATGTATATCCGTGTATTTTCTGCGCATGAAAAATAAGTCAGTAACTTTAAGTAATTTCTCATGCGGTGCAACCTGAAGCTGGGCCAACTTCTACCTGAGCGTCATGCCGAGGTAGCGCGTTCACGTGTATATTTTTTCAGGAAGTTCATGCTTCGCAAACCTTTGTCCTCAAATGCCTGCAGGTAAGGTATAGATTTTTGGGCCTGAAAATTCATAGATTTTTTGGAGTGTGCACTTCATAGATTTTTCGGTAAGGTTCAATCTTTTTTTGGGCCTTAAAGCTCATAGATTTTGAGGCTTTAATGGTCCGATGTTTTTCGGTTGTAACGTTCAAAGGTTTTTGGGCATTAAGGTTCATAGATATTTGTGATGTAGGGTGTAGGGTTCACAGGTTTTTGGGATGTAGAGTTCATAGGTTTTTGAGCCATATGGTGCATAGATTTTTGCGGCGTAGAGATCATAGATTCTTGGGCCTTAAAAATTATAGACTTTTGGGGTGTAAAGTTCAAATATTTTTGGGGTGTATAGTTTGTAGATTTTTTCAGCATAAGGTTCAAAGATTTGTGGGGCGTGAAGTTCAGAGATTTTTGTGGTGTAAGGTTCGTACATTTTTGGGCCGTAAAGTTCATAGACTTTTGCAGTGTAGAGTTTATAGTTTTTTGGGTCTTAAAGTTCATAGTTTTTTGCGGTGTAAGGTTCATAGAGTTTTGGGGCGTGAAGTTCATAGATTTTTGTGGTGTAAGGTTCGTACATTTTTGGGCCATAAAGTTCACAGAACTTTGCGGTATAAAGTCCATAGAGTTTTGGGGGCGAAAAGTTCAGAAGTGTTTGGAGCGTAAAATTCATAGATTTCTGGGGTGTAAAGTTCACAGAATTTTGCGGTATAAAGTTCATGGATTCTTGCAGTGTAAGGTTCATAGACTTTTGGGCTGTAAAGTTCAGACTTTTGGGCCTGAAAATGCATAAACTTTTTGGGGCGTAAGGTTCGTAGATTTTTTGGCCTTAACTTAACGTTTTGAGTTTCTTGTGGCGTAAAGTTCAAAGACTTTTTGGATCTTAAAGTTCGCAGATTTTTTGCGGTGGAAAAAATCTTTGAATTCTACACCACAAGAACCTATGAACTTTAAGGCCCAAGAATCTATGAACTCTACACTTCAGAGAACCTACAAACCTTGAAACCCAAACATCTATGAACTCTAAAGCAAAAAAACTACGAACTCTACAACACAAAAAAATGTGAATTTTAATTAATTTTGCACTTTCTTTCACATCATGCCATGAATGGCAATCAATACATGGGCCGACTAGCCCTTTTGTGCCCAATGAAAAGATCAGAGTTTTGCACCTAGGGAGGACCGGGGCATTTCCCAAACTGTGGGTTATGAGCCCAAAGAACGCCATGGATGGGAGGTCAAAGGGGACCTTACAAATAGAGGATAGAAAGGGGGATCAACCACCAAAGGGAGCCCCAACCACGTATGGACCTGTGGTTAAACAGCACGACAGGGAGTTGGCTGTGAACCCCTTCTGGTCAGAAAGGACGAAGGAAAAGGCCCAGGATGAAGCGCTGCTGAGATCGTTGAGGCCTGAAGGATTTCCTGAATCTGACCAGGCTACGAATTCGAGGCCTGCCACCGGAGGTGAGGACGGGCAGACTGGGATGCCAGATATGAGACAGCTAATAGCTCTAGTGCTTCAACAGAACAGCCAGTTGAAGCAGGAAGTTGATGAACTCAAGGAGAAACTGATCTCCCAGTCAGCAGTTGCACCGGTGATGAATCGGGTAGAGAGGGTTGAAATAGAAGGACAACCAAAAGGACAGGATGGACAAACTCTTTCAATTCTTGATGGACCAGTTGTTCCTTTGGAAGATGTGAAATCGGAGGATGTAGGTTTGGGGGCTGAATGGAATACCCCGCCTGAGTCAGTGTCTGCCAAGAGGCAATCAGGCTTGGCAGAAACCCAACCTCCAGGAACTGTGGACTTGGGTGCGATGACAGACCAGCATCAGGTTCTCGGTCAGGTGACGCAGACTCTGAGTGCTTTGGTATCGCAGCTGATTGCTGCCACTGGTGCCCCAGCAACCCGCTGCACGGGCCCTGGAGGAGAGGGAAGGTGGTCTGCGATGGCTAATGGGGCACAGACAGCCGCTGCGACTGGGACACAGATGTCGCGCTGCATGGGCCCTGGAGGAGAGGGAACATGGTCTGCGATGACTGGAGTGTCCGCGGCTGGAGCATTGCAGATGGCTGTCAACAATGGGACACAAGTGTCGCGCTGCATGGGCCTTGGAGGAGAGGGAACATGGTCTGCGAAGACTGGTGTGCCCACAGCCAATGGACAAGGCCATGGAGGCGGTGGATTTCAGCCCAATGTGCATGGATGACAAGGCCATGGAGGTGGTGGATTTCAACCCGATGGCCATGGAGCATTTTCTGGAAATGGATATCAAGCTCCGTATGGAGGAGGAGCCAACGGTGGTGGCATGGGTGGGTTTGGAGTGCCAAGGATGGCGCCTTTCCAACTGCCACAGGAGCTGACTTGATTCCAAGGAGCTGGAGAGTCGATCAGGACGGTCGATCTTCCACCATTACCAGCAATCAAGGAGGGTGAGCTGGGCGGTGTGGTCATTGGAGATTGGCTGGCATTGATTTCGCCGGTCATGAAGGATCTCAGTGTGAGCAGTGGTGCGTGGTGGGATGCTGTAGTGATGGAGGCACAGACCACCTACAACACCTGGCTCCATTCTGAACCACTTCAACGTCTATATCTTTCACCAGATGTTCCAAGAGATTGTAAGACTACATGGGCAAGGCTGGGGCAAAGAGGTCAATCCATGCTCTTGCAAGCCTTGCCGGATGGACTTCGATCCGGAATGTTGGCCAACAGAGTGGCCCACACAGTGGAGATCATTTACCGGGTGCTCACTCGGTACCAGCCTGGAGGATTAGGAGAGAAGGCGTTGCTGTTGCGCCAACTGGTGGATGGACGATCTCCAACCAATCTGGTGGACTTCCTTGATCAGATCAAGGCTTGGAAGAGAAGCTTGAGGAGGTCACAGGAGTTGAAGGTCGCGACACCAGACCCGACGCTCCTCATAGGAGCTCTTGACAAGATGAGTGGCGTGGTGGTCCAGTCCTCGCCCCAGGCTGCGTTCAGGCTGAACAGTATGAGGACGCAGTTGATGGTGGATGTGAACCCTACCTTGCCAGCAGTGGTAAGCTACGCTGACTCTGTGATGGCTGAAGCGGAGAGCCTCTTCCATGGTGGAGTGCCTGCCAATGCAACGGTGAAGGTGAAAGCCCTGGAGGGAGGAGCTGCTGCTGAGGCACCGCAGAAAGGCGAGGGTAAAGGGAAGACAGCTGAGAAGGGAGGCAAGGGAGATCGCTTGCCATGCAAGTTTTTTGGAACTGAGGATGGGTGTAAGAAGGGATCAGATTGCTCTTACATCCATGATTGGAGTTCCATCGACAAGAAGGGCCGATGCTACAACTGCTCTTCTACCAAGCACTCCAGGAGAGACTGCACTGTCAAGGCCACTACGTCCAAGGAGAACAGTGGAGGCGATGCTGGAGGAAAAGGGAAGAGTGGGAGCGACAAGGGCAAGGGCCCTGATGGAGCTGGAACAGCACCAGCCTTGAAGAAGGCAGATCAACCTTCAGAACAGTCAGCCAAGGACGAGGAGTCGAAGAGCAGTGGGACAGGCGGCGGTCACCCGAGAGTAGAGGGGGACCTTGCCCGAGTTCCAGCGCCCCCTGTGCAAGAATTGATGCAGGAAGCGGCGGCACTGCTGAAGTCACTGAAGGGATCTGCATTGAAGACCATCAAGGTCAACAGTCTGGAGGTACAGAGCTCTGGACAGGCATTGCTGGACGGTGGGGCAACCCACGCATTGCGTACAACTAAGAGCAAGCGGGAGTGGGAACAAGCTGTGGAAGTGAGGATGGAGTTAGCACAGGGATCGGCTGTGCTGCGCCAATTACCCTGGTCCAAGACGTTGTTGTCTTTGACCCCAGTGCAGTGTATAGTACCTCTTGGAGTTCTTGCAGAGATTGTGCACTGCGTGCGCTGGGAGGGCACCACGTTTGAGCTGACAGACCCATCAGGATGCATCTTGGACACGCAGCTTGAAAATGGCTGCCCTACAGGAGAAGTCGAGCGGCATTTTGTGGAGCGCCGTGCTCGGCTGGCTATCCTCAAGGGAGAGGGGAACATTGGAGGTTTGGATGACAGCTTCGTGGAGGAGCTCAAGGAGCTGAGGTCAATGTTCCCTGAAGTTCCGGTGGAGTTGTTGGTCCAAGTCTTGACAAGCAAACGTGGCTATCGAGAGGGTGATTTGCCCTGGAATCGACACCAGCGACGACGTTTTCGTCGAGCTCAACAGATTGTGGTTCACTTGTTTAGTGGAAAGGATGCTGGTTTTTGGAAAAAGGAGTTGGACACGCCTCAGAGGGCGACGATCTGTGTGGACACAGAATTGGATTCCAGACAGAATCTACTTCGAGATGATGTGATGGAGTACCTGCTGGAACTGGCAGATAGCGGCAGGACGTGTGCCTGGATTGGAGGGCCACCATGCCGTACGATGTCGAGATTGAGGTATCGTCAACCAGGACCACCACCATTGAGGTCACGGTTGGGTCCGGAGAGATTTGGTCTGAATGGCCTCAACGAGAGCCTGCTATGTCAAGTACAGCAGGACACCATCTTGTGGCTGAGGCACTACTACTTGTACCACCGTGCCAAGAAGGTCAACACTGAGAAGACTCTGTACTTGACAGAGCAGCCTGAGGATCCTGAGAACTAACTGGATGAAAGCGCAGTTCAGAAACAGCGCTATCCCAGCTACTGGGCCTTCCCTGAATGGGAATGGATGAAGAAAGCCAATGAGTTCGTGGAGATTCACTGTGATCAGGGTCCGATGGGACACAGCAGGAGGAAACCAACGACTCTGGGGACGAATCTCTATGGACTACAGCAGCTTCAAGGACTCAGGGGTGCTGGGTCAACACCAGAAGGAGCTCCGGAGAAGATGTCCGTGGATGAAAGGATTCAACTTTCCAAGAGTTGGTCAGCGTGGGCCCCAGGATTGAAGAGGGCTATTGCAGAGGCTTTGAGAAGGGAGTTGGAGGTCAAGGTGAAAAGGATGACTCTTGAGGGTTGGAAGAAGCACCTCAGGAATGATCACCTTCCATACTATCGAGGATGCCGGACTTGCCTCGAATCTCAAGGTCAGTCAAGACATCACCGGAAGATTGTCACTCCGGAGAGCTACACACTTGGGATCGACTTAGCTGGACCTTTCAAGAAAGGAACGGATCAGTTGGGATGTGGACGTTACATCCTAGTTGGAGTGTACACTTTGCCTACGACCTTAGATGGGAGGCCGTTGCATCAAAAGGAGGAAGAGGGCCCTGCTCATCGCTGCCGTGACCCTAGAGGAGAGGGGGACGGGACTGCGTCAGCAGGTGTGCCCAGAGGTCAAAAGGAGGAAGAGGGCCCTGCTCATCGCTGCCGTGACCCTAGAGGAGAGGGGGACGGGACTGCGTCAGCGGGTGTGCCCAGAGGACAGCCAATAGAAGGAGGTACTACCACTAGGCTTAAGTCGTATCAATCGACCTGAAGTCGTATCACACCTGCGTGCGCGCAGTGTTTCGTATAGTTCTTTATTTGATTGGTTATTGATTCGAACACTTTTTCATCGCTGTACGCAATGTTTTGTTGACATGATTCTATTTGACCCTACTAGCCCTAGCGTTAAGTCGTATCAGCTCGTAGAAGTTGTATCGGGAGGCCGTGCGCCTGGAAAAAGTTCAAGTTTGGCATCACCACAACTTTTAGTAATTGGACGATTTCATTGTTTTGGGGCCGTGCGCCTAGAAAAAGTTCAATTTTTGTATTGCGTTGATTTATAAAACTTATATTATATTTCATTATTCTTTCAACGGGGCAAACGCTGGTTGCTGCTTTCTGCTTGCTTTCTGCTTGCTTGCTGCTTGCTTGCTGCTCCTTGCTGCTGCCTCCTGCTGCTGTTGCTGCTGCTGTTGCTGCTGCTGTTGCTGCTGCCTCCTGCTGCTGTTGCTGCTGCCTCCTGCTGCTGCTGCTGCTGCGGCTGCGGCTTCCTGCTGCTGCTGCCTCCTGCTGCTGCCTCCTGCTGCTGCCTCCTGCTGCTGCCTCCTGCTGCTGCCTCCTGCTGCTGCTGCTGCTGCTGCTGCTGCTTCCGCCTGCTGCTGCTGCTGCTTCCTCCTGCTGCTGCTGCTGCTGCTGCCTCCTGCTGCTGCTGCTGCCTCCTGCTGCTGCTGCTGCTTCCTCCTCCTCCTGCTGCTGCTTCCTCCTCCTCCTCTGCTGCTGCTGCTGCTTCCTCCTGCTGCTGCTGCCGCTGGTGCAAACATTTTGCCGAAAAAGAAAATTACAGTCTCGGTCGCCTTGTTTGGCGCTGGCGGGAGATACGGGCGGGAGACGCCAGCAGAGAGAGGGAATGTTTACAGAAGGCAGAACTTATGAAACATTCAAGCGGAAGCGGATGTTGACAGCGGTGTGCCACTGGGTTTTCAGATTTTAACGTTGTTGATATGATGATGTTGCCCATAGCTATTACATGGAAATCTATGTTTGTTAGGAAACAAAGTTAAAGATCTGGGAGGCCGTGTGCCATGGTGATTCCTAAATATATCCTTTGAAAACATAGTTTAAACATATGTGAATACCTCAGTGTGCGCAATGTTTTCTTCATTTTTGGAGATATAACAACATTCCTTGAAAGCCGGTGTGCCATTGGGATTTTGATCTTTTGATGTGACTTTTGCCCTGTTGATGTGACTTTCTTCCAACTCGCTGTTACATGGGGTTGATGTGACTTCTGCACAACTGATGTGACTTAAACCCTTCGCTAGTATCTTCAACGATGATGAAGAAGAGCCTCCTGAGGCTCCAGTTCCTGGTGACGACCTCGCGGAGGAGAACGAAGATCCCCTGGAAGTTGAGGAGGATACCACTGGTGAGAGTCCAGCGGATGAGAAGGAGGATGATCCTCAGAAATGGAGGGAAAAGATCCAAGCGGAGGAGAGCTTCAAGATCGGACCGTTGACCTTTGTGGAGATCCTTCCGGATCGAAAGGGCCCATCGGTGATTGCAGGGCTGTCACGCCTTCATGCGCGGTTGCGCTACTTGGGGCTTCCGCTGTTGAGGCTTCATTCAGACAGAGCAGGAGAACTGAGGTCTCAGGCCATCAGGAAATGGTCAGAACAGCGCCAGGTGATGCGCACATACACCGATGGTGATTCTTTCAAATCCAATGGGAGGCTGCTATTGGAGTGCTTAAGGGCCACACTCGAACCTTGCTGAAGGAGACCAACCAGGATCCAACTATGTGGCCACTTGCAGCTCGACATGCAGCTGAGAGAAAACTACGGCAGCAGCTTGCTGGATTTGGAATTCCAGTACGTGATATGCTGCCTTATGGATCGACAGCCATTGCACGACAGAAGATCTGGTTTCAGAAGTACATGGATTGGAAGCTCAGCCGACGAAAAGTCACTGTGCTGGGGCCAGATGCAGCCATGTCAGCATCGATGCCTGGCTACTTCGTGCAGGGTGAGGATGGGAAGTTCTTTCACTCAGTTGATGTGATCATTGCTGAGGGGACTCCAGAGGAAGCTCAATTAGAGGATGCAGCTGAGATTGGAGAGCTGCGGGGATACGACTTTTGATGGAGGAGCTCAACATCAGAGATGAGCTGACAGAGGAGGAATGTGGAGTTGGACCTGCTTCACGAGAAGTAGCAGGTACAGACCAGTTTTTGAGGTCTCTGATCGCAGATGTGGAGGGATTGGCTGAAGGATTAGCCAGAGAAGATGCAGTTCAGAGGCAGCTACAGGAAGAGGAGACGGAGGAGATGGCATTTAGCCAAGAGGTCTTTCTGCAGACGAAGACCTATTCGCTGGCCGAAGTCAAGCAGGAGCTGGAGGAATGGAAGGCTAGCATGGAGAGTGAATTTCACTCTATCACTGAGGAGACTGGTGCCATCAGGGTCATCACCGAAGCGGAAGCAGAACAGCTTCGACGTGATGCAGAGCGCCAGAATGTGCTGTTTGAGCGCATACCAGCTAAGGCTGTCTTCACTAGAAAGGCTGGCACTGGAAAACGGAAGTGCAGAGCCTGTGCATGTGGGAACTTTATGACCCAACGCAGTCTGGCAGACACCTATGCTGGTGGCACTGGAGCGACAGAAGTCCGTGCCATTTTGAGGAGATGTGGGCTTCGATCTTGCTCAGCAGTCACTTTGGATGTGAAGACTGCATTTTTGAGAGCCCGCAAGGATCACTCCAAGGAGATTGTCATCGTTCAGCCGCCCCAGGTGTTCATCTTGGCTGGAGTTTGCCAGCCTGGAACTTTGTGGTTGGTTGATCGAGCCCTGTATGGCCTTATCACAAGTCCAAAGGAGTGGACGCAGTTTAGGAATCAACGAATGGTGACCTTCAAGTGGTCAGTGAATGGCATTGACTATGCCGTCGAAAAGACTGAAGACCCCGACATTTGGAAGATCGTCAAACCAGCCTGGCGCTGCACGGACCCTGGAGGAGAGGGTACGTGGACTGCGGTGGCTGAAGCTCCACTGCATCGCTGCACGGACTCTGGAGGAGAGGGTACGTGGGCTGCGTCCAGTGGAGGGTCATTGGAAGGCCATGGGAGTCTGAATGAGGAACGGCCTCAATCTGCCGCCATGACCGATGTCGGGAAGGTCCAAAACGAAGTAGTTGGGTACTTCGTGACCTATGTGGATGATGTTCTTGCGGTTGGAGAAGAAGGAGTCCTGGATGGATTTTGCACCAGGATGCAGCAGGAATGGGAGGTGGGCAGCCCAGACTGGCTGAGAAAAGATGGACCACCGGTGAGATTCCTGGGGATGGAAATTGAACTCAGGAAGGGAGTATACCGGGTTCACCAACAGTCCTATATCCAGAGTCTTTTGGAGAAATACCCAGAAGAGAAAGGTCTGAGACTGTCCCACATCAAAACTCCTGAGGAGGAGGATCATGTCACTCCACAAGAGGTTCAAGTAGCCCAACGTCAGACGGGCGAATTGCTTTGGTTAGCAGGTCGAACCAGGCCTGACATCAGTTTTGCAGTGAGTTTGATGAGCATGTATGCCACGAAAAGGCCAAAGGGAGTGATGAAGATTGGCCGTGAAGTTAGGGCCTATCTCAAGACCTCCTTGGACCTAGCTCTGGAATACGGCAGATTGCCAGATGGAGACTTTGGTGAGGGCGGCAGCCAGCGGAGAGCTCGCCATGAGAACCTCATCGAGGTTTACACAGACGCCAGCTATGCCTCGTCTGGGTTGAAGAGCATCAGCGGCGTAGTGGGCTTCTATGCAGGAGCACCAGTTTTTTGGATTACCTGCCGGCAGAGCTTTGTGACACTGTCAACGGCAGAGGCTGAGCTGATGTCAATGCTGGAGGGCCTCACAGCACTTCGCTGTGTCAAATCAGTAGTCAGCATGTTGCAGTCAGGGCCCCTTGAAGGCCGGATGTATTCTGACTCCACAGCTGGGATCAGCATTGTGTCAGGTACGACTGGAAGCTGGCGCACCAGACATTTGAAGATTCGTGCCCAAGGCCTACATGAGGCTGTTGATAGGGGGGAGACCACGTTGGAACACCAGTCTGGAAAGCTGTTGGTGGCCGACGGGATGACGAAGCAGCTCCAAGGAATGCTGCTACGCCACTTCATCCAGGCCCTCAAGATGACCACTGAGAAAAGGGAGGTGGTTGCTGTCAAGCGCCTCTGTGAAGGAGGAGATCAGCGGAAGAGACTTCAAGATGCACTTGCTCTCTTGGTGGTTTCAACTTCCATTGTCATGGCATCAGCTGAAGGTACAGAGATTGAGCCAACAGCCACCAATGAGGATAGCATGAGTTGGATCTTTTTGATGGTTGCTGTGGCCGTGATCCTCGTTGTAGTGGACATGGTGTCAAGGTTTGGGATTGACACCTTGAGGAGATGGATCAGCCGGGAGGAACCTGGTTTGCTGATGCACGAACTAGCATCAGTGCCAACCAGAGGAACGGAGGGATCTGCAGGTCTGGATCTCACCACAGTGGAGGAGTACAGAATCCCATCAGGAGAATACATGCTGGTGAGGACAGGGATTGCGGTTGAACTTCCGCATGGAACCTATGGAAGGATGGTGAGAGGCATAGAAGTTGGAGGTGGAGTTATCGACCGTGATTTCAGAGGGGAAATCAAGGTTTTGATTCACAACCTGTCACCGATGGAGTTTTGGATCCGCTCTGGAGATCGAGTGGCCCAGTTGATTGTCGAGAAGGCGATGGAGGTCAGAGTTGAACAGGTGGATGCACTGTCAACTACTACCAGAGTTTTGACTGGACCGGAGTGGACGAACAGCAGAGATGCAGGCCAGGGAATTACCTCGTTCTCAGTCCGTCGACTCGGGGAAGTACGACAGTTGGAACAGAGTCAGGATGGGGGGGGCAGCAGTCAAGAACCAGCTCCTGCAGCTCCGCAACCAGTGGGTACCACAGCCCACGAAGGGGGGAGAGATACCTTAACTGAGCCTACATCCTTGTCTCAGACATCTACTCTGCAGAGCCCTTTGACCATGACACCTCCGACATTCATGCCGAGGGAGATGATTCAACCGAGTTCCACATCACAGGAGAGCTCTATAGCGACGGACAAATACTTAGAACATCATTTGGAAAAAAATCTGAAAACCGTCACAGCGGGGATGTTCTAAGTATTAAGTCGTTAGAACATACCCAAAACCTATACTTAGAACATTTCCAAGCGATACTTAGAACATCCCAGTGGGGAACCAATGGGAACCATACATATATGTTCAAAATTATACATAATTCATTTTAGCTCATTTTAGTATTGAAACCTATGCTTTTTGACTACCTCCTGTAGGAAACCCACAAATTATATACTAGAGACCTTCCCATTGCAGCGAAGACTGCTTGGGATATTGTTCCCGAAGAAAAGGTATAGAATGCTGCAGCAGTGAGGGGAGAAAGTGTTCTAAGTATGGTGTTCACCAAGGTATTTGTGTGTATATATGCAGATTTACCAAAGTAACAGGACATGTTCTAAGTATATGTGTGTTTAATGTTCTAAGTATGCAAAAAATCAAAGGAGATGTTCTAAGTATCTGTTTTTCTGATGTTCTAAGTGCGTACTTAGAACATTTCTGATGTTCTAAGTGTAGTTGTTTTGATGTTCTAAGAAAAGGTTCCGAAATTTTGGAAAAATTTGATGTTCTAAGTATATGTCCGTCACTATATGGTGGTGCCAAGTATGATTCCAAGGAGCCCTCTAAAGGGAAGTTTGCGTTTGCTGAGGTTCGAAACCAATTCCACCTACGGCTACTGGGTTTTTGGCACTTTGTGGTGAACTGGCCATGGACCGCCAGATGTGTTCCCCGACTACTACCTGCCTGAAAGGCAGTGGTATGGCTCCGCTACCAGGACCATGGAAACCATGATCATCGAGAATGGGATTGGTGGCGGGTACTGGCCGTTGGAATGGTCTGATGACCTATGGACCCTGGTGACCCAGCGACCATCGATGCGTGGCCCTGACATCACTAGAGAGTTCAAACTGTCTTCCAGTGTGGATGCATTGGTCAGGATCCATTCCACACCTCGCCAGAAGCTCTATGACTTCGAGGACACTGATCCAAATGAGAAGTTCAGTGAACTGCAGCTGACGATTGCCTGGCTGCTCCTCAACCAAAAGGCTGTTGTCTGCAGCCGACGACGAGGCCGAAGAGCCCCTTATCTCCCCGAAACCTGGACTGGATACACGATTCATCTGAGGATTTCATCAAGGGCTTGAGCTGCTGAGATTTTGGATATGGTGCCATCTCCAAAAGGGGGAGTGCACTTTCTTTCACATCATGCCATGAATGGCAATCAATACATGGGCCGACTAGCCCTTTTGTGCCCAATGAAAAGATCAGAGTTTTGCACCTAGGGAGGACCGGGGCATTTCCCAAACTGTGAATTTAATTAATGCCACAAATTCTAGGTTACTACTAAATTTTACTATGACTACTAAAGTTTACTATTCTTCTTACTTGGTTAGTAAATTTGTAAGTAAATCAGCAAATGTAATGTCATTCGTAAATCCGAAATGCTGCTTGGGTTTTTGGTAAACTACGCCTAATTCAATGGATCTGCAGGCTCAGGGCAACAAGTTTGCAGCAGCTGTTGCGCTAAGTTTTTGCAGAAGTTAGCGCATCCAAATTTTTAGTGTCACTCAGGGAGGGGGTAAGTTACCCCTCCCTTCAGTGACTCACGCCGTCAACGGTACAAGTCACTAACCCCTCTGGAAGTAGTTGCCGTAGCAGTGGTAAAGCCTAATCGAGCGCAGCTAGGCCAGCTTGCCATGTAGCTGGGTAGGGGTTAGTGACTCGTCACGTTGACGGCGTACCGCACCCCAATTTGCAACTAGAGTGTGCCAGGCACCGTACCGCACCTCAATTTGAAACTAGGAGTGTACCAGGCACCGTACCGCACCTCAATTTGCAACTAGAGTGTACCAGGCACCGTACCGCACCTCAATTTGAAACTAGGAGCGTACCAGGCACCGTACCGCAGCCCACTTTGAAACTAGGAGTGTACCAGGCACCGTACCGAACCCAATTTGCAACTAGGAGTGTGCCAGGCACCGTACCGCACCCAATTAATTATCTATGAACTTTATACTGCAAAATTCTGTGAACATTACACTGCAAAAGTCTATGAACTTTTCACCCCAAAACTCTCTGAACTCTACGCCACAAAATCTATGAACTTTATACCGCAAAGTTCTGTGAACTTTATGGCCCAAAAATGTACGAACCTTACACCACAAAAATCTATGAACTTCACGCCCCAAAACTCTATGAACCTTACACCGCAAAAAAACTATGAACTTTAAGGCCCAAAAAACTATAAACTCTACACTGCAAAAGTCTATGAACTTTACGGCCCAAAAATGGACGAACCTTACACCACAAAAATCTCTGAACTTCACGCCCCACAAATCTTATGAACCTTACACCCCAAAAATATTTGAACTTTACACCCCAGAAGTCTATAATTTTTAAGGCCCAAGAATCTATGATCTCCACGCCGCAAAAAACCGTGCACCATACGGCTCAAAAACCTATGAACTCTACATCCCAAAAACCCGTGAACCCTGCACCCTACACCACAAAAATCTATGAATCTTAATGCCCAAAAACCTTTGAACGTTACAACTTACAACCCAAAAACATCGGACCCTTAAAGCCTCAAAATCTATGAGCTTTAAGTCCCAAAAAATTGAACCTTACCGAAAAATCTATGAAGTGCACACTCCAAAAAAATATCTATGAACTTTCAGGCCCAAAAATCTATACCTTACCTGCAGGCATTTGAGGACAAAGGTTCGCGAAGCATGAACTTCCTGAAAAAATATACACGTGAACGCGCTACCTCGGCATGACGCTCAGGTAGAAGTTGGCCCAGCTTCAGGTTGCACCGCATGAGAAGTTACTTGAAGTTACTGACTTGTTTTTCATGCGCAGAAAATACACGTATATACATAAAACAAACAATGTCTTAAAAAAACGGTTTTCAAAATGTTTTGCCATGACCTATATCGTTTGAATCATAAATCCGCCCAATGATAGAACATTTTGCTATGTCAACTTTAGCTTGGGGAAGGGGAGCCCTTGGGACCGCTTTTGCTCGGTCATTGCATATGGCGCAGGGTAGCTTCAGTTTTTCCAATTTTGCGACCCTTTGGGGTCTTCGTGAAACGAAATTAAAATTTGACCGAAATTTTGCTGTTGGGGCAGGTTTTTTGAATTTTGTGCGATGCTTGAAAAGAGCGCATCGCAAAAACTAGCGTTTTTGCTGCAATGCTGTGGTGGGCTGCGGGGAGAAAGTTACAAACAAACTGCAAAACCAACGTGCTTTGCCGTTTTTTTTTAATGACAAAGTATTGTAAATACAATGTTTTTGATCGGAAATCAAAAACCTGCGGTAAAAACGGTGTTTGGTTCATTTTTGGATAAGGATGAACACGAAAAAAATAGAAGACATCACATATACCCGCGTTGTTTGCTGCTCTGCTGGTGCGCCGCAGGAAGAACATCACAGACAAAAAACTGCGACATGTTTTGTTGTTTTCCCCGATGACTCTTCACTACCCAAACAAAAACAAAGATGTTCCCAAATGATTTTCCACAATTTTCCAAGTTCGATTGAAAACATATGGTATTTACAGTGTTTTCCAAAAAACTATCCAAACATGTTCCAAGGCATGGTTTTTCCGCAGTTGGTCCAGTTTGCGCCAGAAAAAACATGGTATTCACAGCCTGCCAGAAAAATAAACGCTGGGTTTTGCAAGTACCAGTGTTTTTTTCTTGTGTGCTAGAGCGGAGGGGCAATAAAACTTGAGGCCAGGGGGGAGGTACGAAAGCTAGCAGGGCTGGGGCAGGGTGGTAATCGTAAAGAGGGATTAGCAAGGTGAAGTCGGAATGCGGCAACGGGCTGCTGTAGGGTTGCAAAATCTATTGAGTCCAGCAAGCGAAAACTCCCCAATGCAATAATCGTCTCTCGCCAAGTGTTGTAAGCAAAAGAAACGCAATATCAAAAAAAACACCCCAAATGGAAGCCCGAATCTGCAGAAAAATGTTCGAGACAAAGCAACATATGTATGACGATGATAGGGATGATGATGAGGATGATGCTGTTGTTGATAATGATGATGATGAGGAGGAAGAGGAGGACGATGATGAGGAGGATGAGGATGAGGATGGGGATGGGGATGGGGATGGGGATGGGGATGGAGGATGGAGGATGGAGGATGAGGATGAGGATTTTTTGGTGATGCTGCTGATGATGATGATGATGATGAAGATGAAGATGATGGTGATGATGATGATGAATATGATTATGATGATGATGATGATGATGCGGATGCTGATGCTGATGCTGATGATGACGCGGAGGAGGAGGAGGAGGAAAATAATTATGATCATTTGGAAACCGGCAAGTTTCCGATGATGATTTTATAGAGTTGTTGGTTGGTTTACTGAACATGACGTCCTGAAGATGAAATACTGAAGAGGACGACCCTATACCTGCAGGAAACCAATGGCCCAGCGGGACCCGGGGATGAGGATGCTGATCAACGACGAGGAGGACGAAGAGGACGACGAAGAGGATGATGATGATGATGAGGATGAGGACGAGGATGAGGATGAGGATGATGATGACGATGATGATGATGATGATGATGATGATGTGGATGCTGCGGATGATGGGGATGATGATGATGATGATGATGACGATGATGATGATGATGATGCTGATGATGATGATGATGAGGAGGATGAGGATGAGGATGAGGATGAGGATTTTGAGGGTGAGGATGAGGAGGATGAGGATGAGGATGAGGAGGATGAGGATGAGGAGGATGAGGATGAGGAGGATGAGGATGAGGAGGATGAGGATGAGGATGAGGATGAGGATGAAGATGAAGATGAAGATGAAAATGAGGATGATGACCCTCTACCAGCTTGAAATCTCCTCTCGGGGGAGGCTCGGGGGGGACCAGGGGGGATCGAACCTGGGCCTGCCGGAAAGCTTCAGGGTTTCCAATAGTCCTGCTCCTGCCTATTCCTTGCTAAAGCAAGAACAACTCCAGCTAGCGCAGCCAGCTTTCGTGACTTTCCAAGAATGTTTAAAGGCCAGCGTTTTCTTTAATGTTTGTTCATTGGAAACGTACTGTGCAAATACCATGGCTTCTTGAGGGAAAGCAGGGGGGGGAACTGCGAGAAAAAAAGGTGCTGGAGATTATTTTCGACAGCAGTTGCCCAAAAAGAGTAGCAGCCTGGCTGTGGGGTTCAAAAAATCACCCACGGAATCCTTGCAAGGGGTTCCCCCATTCCGAATGGAACAGCACCCTTTTGAATCATAGTGGACACTTTTACAGCATGAGGGTGTGAAGATGTAGATCAGCAAATGTGAGAGTGTGAAGATGTAGATCTGCAGATGCGAGGGTGTGAGGATGTATTACAACGGCTGCTTTTTTACGAAGAACCCTTCGCAGGCGCTCTCGGGAAAAAATCACAATTTTGATTTTGCCAATGCAAAAAAAGATAAAGCATACATTCGTCAAACAAAAACAACATGTTTTTAACTTGCTTTAGCAACAACAATTCAAAATAGGATCAAGAAAATAACATTTTTCTAGGTTATCATCTCCAAGGTTAAAATAGCCGAAAACAGCTTTTTAAGGCTAATGTTCGCTGCTGATTAGTGTGAGGGGCCCCCCCCCGTATGTTCGACACTTGGAGGCTATATCGCAAGCCAAGAGGAAAAGGCAGCGAAGCAAACTATAGGCGCAAAATGGACGCAACTGATTCCGCCTGCTTCGGGGCGTGAGCCTTTCCAGTAAAGACATGCCGATGGAGCCGCTGGAGCCGATGAGGCCGCTGAGGCCGATGGAGCCGATGAGGCCGATGGAGCCGATGAGGCCGGAGAGGCCTATGAGGCCGGAGAGGCCGATGAGGCCGCTGGAGCCGATGAGGCCGATAAGGCCGACGGAGCCGATGAGGCCGCTGGAGCCGATGGAGCCGCTGGAGCCGATGAGGCCGATGAGGCCGATGGAGCCGATGAGGCCGATGGAGCCGAGGAGGCCGATGAGGCCGCTGGAGCCGATGGAGTAGCTGGAGCCGATGAGGCCGATGGAGCCGCTGGAGCCGATGAGGCCGACGGAGCCGATGAGGCCGCTCGAGCGAGCCGATGAGGCCGATGGAGCCGCTGGAGCCGATGAGGCCGATGGAGCCGATGAGGCCG